TTTTTATTAGACATACTAAACTGCTTTAAGTCTCACCACTATACCTAATAACTACAGGAGACCATTCAAAACCATGAATTTGGGTGTGAACTTTTCACCAGTTCAAGAAGAATCTTCCTTTTCCAGTAGGAACTCAGTGAAGAGAGTAAAGCCTTAGAGCAGCAGTTTCCCAAATTTCTGATTAAAAGGTCAGCCAGCTTCTCGTGGACCATTCATCCTCTGTTTGTTAACACTATCCCCTGCTTCCTACAAACCCATAAAAGTTCTCCTTGGTCTGCTGGACCACCTGTGATCCACAGACAGGAGTTTGGGAACTGCTGTAGTACAGCATATTCTTTGATTCATGAGTCACTACATCCACCCTTTCTCCTGGAGACTTTCAGAGACAGCAAAAATGTTTAGACATTCAGCTCATACTTAGCTTTCGTTATAATGAGTGTCCAAAAGCCCTCAGGCAACCACGTCAAATGAGTTCCTTTTCTATCCCACTGAATACAAACGTTTGTCCAGTTTTCTTTTTCCTTCCATAAAAATCTTGACTACCCTGTGACAAATTGGCTTAGTCCTACACCAGAGAGTAGTCAGAGACACTAGCAGGGCCTCCTCAGCCTTTTAGCTGCTGTATTTTACTGCTGTTTATAAGAACACTGAGTTGAGGAAGTAATTAGAAAATTGTTTCTGGAGTTTCCACAGCACAATTAATATTATTGCAGCTTTTGGCAACCAGTATATTTTAGCCTCTTTACAATAAAAAAAAAAAAATGCTGGAGCCCTAGTAAAGTGTACTAATTGCTAAAGGAATGAACCAAGACAAACCAGATCAATCTTCTGAAACGTATGCGATAGCCCTAGGTAAAAATGGAACTATGCTAACAAAATCCTGGTTTATTTCTAGGAAATACTCAGTGAAATGTCACAAAAACAAAGTTGATTGGTATCTAAAACAATATTTCCAGACAAGATGCCAAGCCAGTACCATTAAAAACATAGCTATTGTTGAACACCTTAAAGTGAACCAGTAGTCAAGTAGTCTCCCCCTGGCTTGGTACCAGAGACTAACGCAATCTCCAGCACGTCACTAGGCTCAATTAAAATAGGCCAGAATAGAAATAGAAATAAAACGATCACTTAAATTTTAACTGGGGTCTAGCCCAAAGCCTGTTGACAATGTTTGGGGTAGGGGGAAGAAAGAAGGAGGACACAATTCTTTGCAGCAGTTGTTGCAGTTCTCAGACTGCACCACACTCGATCCTTGTGACTGATGCAAGCAGGCATTGACTGCTTTCACAGTTACTACATACTCCAATCTAGGTGGTCCAGATCCTCAACCGCTGGAGTTTGTTACAAACCTCCAAACTAGTTTTCCTCATGGAACACGGTAACATTTTTGGAGAGATAAGCCAGAGCTATGAAACCTAGATTCAAGTTTCAAGTTCAAGATTATTTGGATCAGAGCTGTCCCTGAGAACAGGGAGAAGGCAGTTGTCAAAAACAGATATGAAACTTTAGGCCTCACCTAGCTCCCCTCAAGCTCTTAAATTCTTTCCATTGCTCACAGTCAGCAGCTACTCAACTCTTTGGGAGTGGGCTCCTCAGCTTTCACTGAATCCAAAATCCAGCTGTTTCTTGCTGGGACATCCAGGAGGAACCTTCCACACCAGACTGTTCAGCCACTTGAGGTGTCTTAAAACAAAATTTAGCAAAAGTAGAAGGATTATTAGCTGGTCAAAAGCAGCTCTTGCAGCAAATCACGGTCATAAAACATGTTTATCATGAGATAAACACCCGAGACGACTGCCTTTGCCATGCAGAAAGAGCATCTTCATAGCTCAACACTGCTCCCTTCCAGTCCGCTCTTCACATTAACAGGGTGTTACCTCATAGTCCGCAGTACTGCATTTCAAGAAAGTATGTGACCACACTCCAACAAGGTGACTGCAGATCTTATTGCAAAACCCCGCTCTGATCACAAACATCACGGTCAGTACAATCGCACAGCAGTACAGATATGTATTCCTACCATGTGTTTAATTGCTGGATTTGTTCCTACTTCAAGCATGTCTGTTGCTCTGCTGCACATGCTCAAACACAGATGATGGTATCCCAGATTACAGGCTCCAGGAATGTCTTCTGGATTCCACAAATTTCCTTTCAAAAACAAAAATCAGACCCCAGATGCACCTCAAACACTCAAGACAGACAAGAGATTGACACGATAACGCTTAGGAAGTTTTGAAGAAAACTTCCACTAGCGTCTGGTGGTCTTTGCTCTGAAGACCTAGTACCTAGTTAACATACTCAAATTAAAAGCAGGGGTGTATGGGGATTACCAATGACTAGTTAGGACATATTTGCAAGCAAAAGACAGTAAGGAAACATGGCTGAAACTAAGAATAAGAGCACTGAAGTCTGACATGCACAGTTTCTTTAGACACATCAATTCAATCTCAGCTCTTGAAACGGCTGTTTTTATTGGACTATTTGAGTATAAACAAGTTTCTCCGAGCAAACATAAGAATTTTATTTGACATATTTTTAATCAGTTCTCCAATAGCAGAACTTAACCCCGTTTAACTTTGAAAATCTAGTATTCCAGAGAAAACAAGCTACCAAAATTTAAGTTCCTAAGAGTTTGCACTAAAATCCGAAAACAACTTCAGAGTTTCTGTAGGAGAATCCAGTATTTCCCAACTCATTCTATTCCTTTCTGTTAAGGAGCATTATAGCCCATTACAATGCAAGAAATGGCACATATTCTGCCATAGGTCACAATGCCACTGGTAAACAGAGAAGGCCAAAAACTGAACATTACTATAGAGTGTCATTCTGTAGTTCAGCACACTGCATTCTAGTCATAGCTTACACATACACAAACTGTAGCCTTCAGAAATAACAGAAAGATCTGCTTGGTAGTGAAAATATAATTTTATTTTTAACAATAGCTGCCAGCAGTATACTGGTATATCAGTAAAAGATGTTCCAGAGAGTGAAAGACATAAGCAAACTAAAATGTTGTATCAACTCTTCAAGTATTTCTGCATACAACGCTCCAATTCTTGATGTCCTTGGGAGTCTCTATATGCTCTTCTGCTCCACTATTCTCCCATCCCCCCTCCACACGTGCACCCTCCAGAAACAAAATGTAATAGTTGGTGGCACAGGTTCTGAGGCAGATCAAATATTTTTCACTTGGGATAAAGCTTTCTTCTGAAAATATAAATTGGATGTGTGCAGATAGTCCTACGAGTGGCAAAGAGTAAAAAAAAAAGTTGACTGTACTTGGCCACTTTTTGTTCTACACTGAGATAGGCATCAGTGGGTTTGGCTCAAGCATCTTCAATTTATTCATGTCTGTGCTCCTTTGATATGAAATGCTAATTTGCTACTTTAGCATAAAAACTTGATTACATCTCCCTTCTTATCATGGAATTGCACGCAACTCTCACTCAATCCGTTTAGACATGCCCATTGCGGAAAAAACACCAATTTTATGGGAAAATACAAATGTACAAGCTACATGGCTGCAACTGTCCGCGTGGGACTTTTATACACACCAGCAGTGAACAGTAGATGCATAGGGAAGTTTTGGAGTGCATGAAATTGTTTCAGAAGTTCACATGCCTCTTGTTCAACAGGCAGCTCTGTACATATAAGGAGTCTCTTCAAGAAGGAAAGCTTTGTTAAGAAAAAATCATGCATATACTATAATCTGTGCTCCCACACAAAAATAGGGTGAAGATGATGGATTTTCCCTTTATGTTCAGGAAGTGCACGAGTCACCTGTTTTAATGGGAACTGAAGAATATTTCAGCTGGAGAATAAAGTTATTCAGCATGCTAATACATGCAACCAACTTGCAAACTGGAATGCCTACTTGAAAGGGTAACTGCTGTTTTTAAATTGTAGAAGGGGCTAGAAGCATCATTTTAAATTTAAACAGGGGGTAGATTAATTGCTGTTTGATGAAATTAAAAATGCATTTAAAGATCAGATTGTAAACAAGTTGACAGAACTCAAGAATTTACATAGTTATGAAAGGGCCTTTTTAATTAATGCAGCGCTGGTGATTGGGGCCAGATGAAAGTGCTCTACCCACACCAGACGCTAAACCTTTTACACACCACCCTCGCTGTTCTGATCTGAAGGGATCACCTACAGAGGTGAAAGCTATTCACTCTCCATTAGATTCCTGGCTCCGCTGAAGCCAGCTAGAGGCTGGCCAGCTTCTGTTACAACACAACTAAACTGTGCAATAGGAAGCCAGAAAGATACTAACTCCTTTCACATAGGACAGTTAGCAGCTGTCATATGGTAATCGCCTTATAAACTGCTCACCTGGTCCTCATTTGGATTACACCTATGAGGGAAAGGCTCTGACACTCAATACTTCACTGTATTGAGATAAGAAATACATTAGTTACAGCGAGAGCTTTAACTTTGTTTACAAGCTTTCAGACACAATCATTAAAATACTTAATGCTGAGTATAACATATTACAATTGTTTGAAGATTGCCTAAAAAGCAGAGAGAATATATTATCTATAAAAGAGAACAAGCCTGGCATTTTAACAAGTTAAGCATTTGTGTGCATTGATATGTAGGCAGTGCACACAACTAGAAAACTGCATGAAAGCGTTTTCATGACCATATGCACATAGTTGCCCGGTGTACTGAAACGTGTGTAAACAATGGCTAATTTGTGTTTAAAAGGAGTAAGACCTGATTACTACAACCTCAGACAACTTCCAAGAGCCATCCTGATCTAGGTTTTAACGTAGAGTTAAAAATTTAACAAAACTATGCCCACAGTTACTTTGCTTCCTATTTTCTGTTTTTAAAGGTTAACTATACAATGGCAAAGAGCACCAGACCAATGAGGTTTTGTGTTTTTTTTTTTTTAAACCCTATGTTTCATTAAAAGTGCTTTTATCTAACAAGAGAGGAAGTCATTCCTCTTTCTAGATGTCACGTTATAGCAAAGACTGAATTCCTAAAGAGGATTATTACTGCTGAGAAACTTTATTCAGGATGAGAACGTGACATTAGAATACAGGAATTATAAAATGGCTACAATTAAGTTCTTCCTAAACAGGTTGCTCTGCAGATCCTGTGCCTATATACCTCTAATAAATCATAATAGGGTCTAAACGTATCTACGGCTGTCCTCGAAAGCCACGTAACAGGATTGCTAATTGCCTTTATATTGGAATTCTAGTTCTAGGAAGGCGAGACAAGGCACCACAAGCCATGTATACAAATATGGATCTTTTACTCTACCTCTTCTATGTCAAGCTAACCTCATGGGTATATATAAAGTAGCAAAAGCAGGATGCTTAGAAAAGTCAAGCTGTTTTTCATAAAGCCAGTGCTTACCAAAAAAATTAGTGTATAAAAGTGTTTACGTGAGCATTTTCATGTTATTGCAGGATGTTAAATATTCCAAGAACAACCTACAAGGAATAGCACTTTCCAGCTTTTAAAATCAGTTAAATATAAAAGTATCTTTACAAAAAAATAGGCATATAAGTCTAGCATTCTTTGGAGTTGTTTATGATGGTCTTCTAAAAATAACCTAGTAGTTTATTTCATGCATCAAAATCATTAATTTTAAACAAGAAAACTATTCCCTGGTTTAGAAATATTTGAAAATTGCTTTTAAAAAAATTGTAGTGCTATTCCTCAGTGTTGCTGTAAAAATATTATGTATAGTAGTGCAATCATTATGATAATGCAAAATTGCAGTCCAGGTACACAGACAAGCAATTAAGATAAAGCCAATGTAAAGGACTGGGTTTTCATGCACCATTTCTTTACAAGAGTAACTAATAGAGTTTCCTTTCAGGAGAAAGGCATAATACAATTTAAGGCAAATGCTATCTTTAAAGGTCACTTTAGCTTTCTTCAGGAAAAAAAAAAAAAAAGCTTAAAAAAGTTCCCAGAAAGATTCCACCTTTAACTGCTGTAAATGTTTGGTCTTGCATCACTAATCATTGCACTACTATTCACCATATACAGTAGCTATCTGTCAACTACAACACTAATGTTTACATGTACTTTGTTTATGACAGCACAGGTTTTCTAAGTAAATATTGCCAGAAAGACCTACACAAAACAAAGGTTCTTAACTACCAAAAAGAAAGCCACTTGTAATTTTTAAGGTGAACAGATAGCAAGCACCCAGCTCTTTTGGTTTCATGATGTAAAAGGGCATCTTGATAATTATTCATCTGCTGCAACTCAGAATTCAGGACAAACATAGGTTGGTGATTTTTTTTTTTTCTATTTTGGCAAGCTCTTGAAGTCACACAGCTAAACACTAACTCTGAACTGTGAGCTTCCCGCTATAGCATTCAGGCCTAGATTCAAACTTCCCTGATGCTTGAGGTCATTCAAATACAAGTTTCACATTTGTGCCCATTCACAATCGTCCCCGTGATTTCAAATCCAAGGAAAAAAAAAAAACAAACTTTTTTTAAAAACTGTTGCCAAATAGTCTACAAATGGCTTTTTTGGATAATAAGCTCCCTTCTACATGTAAATGGCATAGACAAGCAGGTACAGTTCAATGCGTCACAGATGGGACAACTGTGTGTAAATCTTCTGGAAAAACAATAAATTCCAAAATACATAAATATTCCTTGTACCATATAGAAAGACAGTATCCTAGACCAATTTGTAGACAGGGAACAAATGTTTGCAAAGAAAAATAGCAGGGGCTAGTTAACCCTTCATACTGAAGAATCTAGAGTTACCCCAGTGCAATATTAACATAACTACATTAATGATATTCAGACTTGCTATGAAAGAAGGTAAGGAAAAACAAGCCTATAATTAAAGTCTGCAAACTTTAGGTAATTACTGTACCTGGTCTATCCACCATAACTTTTAATAACTGCAAGTTCATGCAAAAAAATTGCTATCTTATACAAAAAGAGCAGTCTGTTAGAAGCATTGTTATGGAATATGCAAGAAGTCATCTCTTTTGCAAGTGCTGTTTACTTAGTGAGTCTCTTGGCTACATCACTGTAAGCTATTTCAATTTCTTTGTCTCCAGGACAGGTATTGGTGAATTCATCCCTGCTATAAGCATTTGTCAGGTATCTCCAAATCCCTGTCATACTCTTGGGAATCTCAAAGTTGCGATATTTTTTGGCCACCACCTAGAACAAAAAAAATTAGATTATGAATTTATATCCTTCAACTTAAACCAGTTTTCCATTCCATATCTCACTCTTCTTACATTGAGCTTACGTACTGCAAGGGTAAAGTCACTTCTGAATTCAGTAGAACCTGCCCCTCTGGGATGTGCCTGGACCTGGCAGCATACTGACTCGCTTAGTTTGTATTACTGCCCTCACATGAGGTAAATACCTCTGCATGTAGGCATAAACTTAATCTGTGGCTCCATCTGCAGTACAAAACTGACAAAGACTGTGAAAAGTGATCAAGCCATCGTTATACAGGCAAAATCTTCACTCCCACAGTTATCCTTTACTACCTCTCTTTCTTTCTAGACTTCTAGCTTTTTGTTTGTTTTTGTTTTTTTATAATCCTTGTGTTTTGCATTGTGCTACTTACTTTGTTACTAACAGAACAGTTTTCTCTCCAGATGTGAGGACATCCACTTAAACATTAACCGGTCACATGACATCCACTTTCGTTCCACTACCTCATTCTTTTAAGTGTTGCAACTTATTCCTGTGATCATGTTGCCAGTGCAGTAAAATGGGATTTTGCTTACATCACCTGCTACTCTACTTGTCTGCTGCTTCTCACCTTCACTGAATTCAACTCCCATCCAACTTGATGTACTGTTAAAACTACAGTTACATTTATATAACTACAGTTACATTTATATGGGAACTTACATATAGTTGAAATGAGACGGACACCCAAATGTCATAAACCGTAAGCATCTTTCACTTCATTATCACGTTACTACACAAAACACACCACAAGCCACTTACCTTGACAATATGTAGTTTCGGTAGCAGGTTGCAGTCTGCTAATGTCATCTCATTGCCATCCAAAAACTTGCGGGTAGAAATTGCAATATCTTCCATGCTATTTTCATCTATCTCATCAGGAAGAGGAGAGTTCAGATACTCATCCAGTTTCTGGAGGGTTTTCAAGAGGCCACGTTCTAAGGCTACAAAGGAAGGAACAGGTTTAAAAACCACAGCGCACACATTTCAGAGAGAGTTACTATTTAGAATACTAAATATTGGAATTCTGATATTGGTACCAGACCCCGAGATAAAGTGTCAGAGAACTGAAACAAAGTGAAATAAAAAAGCTCATAAAGATGAATCAAAGTTTCCTGAAACTCCATGCTGAAAGGTGTTAAAATCAGGATCGTGCTCTCAAAGTAAAGATGTAGCTACCTAGAACTCCAGAGGAGAACAATTGTTTCCCTTACTACAGGGCTGCTACAAAGGCTACCTGAAATAATTCACATCACTGTACTCCCCAGAACAGAGCATATACTGAAGGATTCCCAAGCTCAGTGTAAGTTTTACAGCAACACCACTGCCAGAGCTGCCTTTGTGGTCACTAGTAGCACTAAAACTGACCTGAAATCTTTGCTACCAAAAACCAAACAAACTTTAAAGCCCTTTAAATATCACACAGATGCAGGTTATCTAAAAGCAGGTTTATACATGAGCTTGCACTAGTTTAAAATACACAAAGACTGTCCACAAGTGTTTTATTTTTGGTTTAAAAGTGGCTTATGTCAGTTTCTTGAGACTTTTCCTAACTGGCTTAAACTAATTAGAGTTAAGCCATGCTAGGGTTTGCATTCACTTAAACTTAATCTGTTTAATGTCACATGTTCAGCTAAACTGGCACAACTAAACGTGCAGACTACACTTGAAGAGGTTAATTGAAAACAACAGCAGAGGGCAGCATACCCCACAAAACTGAAAGGCATTCTTGGTAAGCCTTAGTATTTGCAAGCATTTTGCCTCCTTCCGTTTGAAAGGCTGCAGAAAGGCATTCTCATTCCATGACTTATTTAAGTTTTCCCTCCAAGCATGGAGGATAAAAGATGGGTACTAAATGATTTAAAGGACGAATTCTGCATTCTTTATCTCTTATTGATCTCAAGATTTTGAATTGCTGAAGCAGGCATTCTCACCTTCCAGCTACTACTTTCTCTCCATCCAGAAAGGCCTTAATCCTTTAAAAAAAAGCAAGATGAACTAGGCTTCACACGGAAGTCTGAATGGGAGCAATCAATGCAAGAAAGGTCAAACATCAAGTATGCCGTAAGGCCTTTCAACACATGCAAGGAAACTTAACCCCTGGGGCATGACCCAAACTCTGCATGGAATACAGTACTGGCCCTTAAAGTCCTTACTATTCAGTTCAAGAGCTTTGACTGGCTGTTGCATAGTTAAGTTTCCACGTCAGGGAAATTCACAGTGCATGCATATCCCACTAAAGTACCCCAGTGCAAGAAAAATAAGTGGAGAGAATTGCTCTGCTTAAAATATAAGCTTAAAGAGACAGAAGGGTACATGCAGGGGATAAGATTCTTGATCCGTTACTGTCTTTCAGTTTATCTAACATCTGCTCAGTATTGCAGTTTCACATTGATCATTAAATCATAGCTAAGCATTTAACCAAATTCCCTACTCCTTTGGAACTGGCAAGCAAAATTCACAGACTTGCAAGCACACTTCATGGTTCAGTGAAGCATCTGTAACAACTTTCACCTAAATGCAGAGCATGCAACTTTGCTACAGCTTCATAGTTTGCAAATTAAATTTCCAAATCTTACCTTAGAAGAGGTTACAGAACAGTTTAAAGGATGTTAATGAGAAATTAACAGAAATAAAGACAAAAGAAATACAAAGCAGAATACTGATTTGGACAACAGTGACCTCCACCTGCTCCACAATGGATTTAGATTAAAGTCACCTCCTGTGACACGCTGCTGCTCAGAGAAATGAAAGTCCAAAACTGACACCGAGAGAGAGAACAGAAGGAAAGCACGTTTTCAGCTTTAACTTTGAATCTACACCTCCATCGCTGAGAATTAAAAGCATCGTTAATGACCTGTATTAGCAATCTTTTTAGACTATGAAGTGTTGTGCCATTTTCAGAAGTAAAATATTCTGACTGAAAGCTTAAAATGGCAGAAAGGAAGAAGGGGAAATTCAAAAAGGGTGGGAAAAGTCAAGAACTGGAGAAAGTCACTGTACCGCATGTTTGTAAAACTAGTTTGGCTACAAAGAGAAGTCTTGTCAAATAAAAGTAAATTAGGACTTTGTCTTTCACAACTTACTGCTAACATTTTGGACCAATGCCTCTACACTTTCCCTTAAGAAATCACCAAGACTATACACATGCCTCTCTCTCAAATACACCTACTATAATACACCTATTAAGGCCAAAGCAACAGAGTGAAAACTTCTGTCAACAGGAGGAGATATACATTTCAGGTGTCTGATGGCAGAAGAACCTGAAGTAGCCCTCCACAGCTAACTGATTTAAGCACAAGTATTTCAACACACGTGACTGAAAATTTGAAGAGGAAGGTGACCAACTCGCAGTGAAAACCCCACAAGTCTTACTCTGCATCTTTCCCAAGGAAACCTCTCAAAACGTACTGCCACTCTCGGGCTAGTTTACTGGAGATCACTAGAAGCCCTCCTTCCCCTCCTCAGATGAAGCCATGCAGCTTCTGGCAACAGAAGATGAGCATTCGTAGCATGTCACTGGAATCTTATGACTGCTCTGTTGAGGCATACTAATAATTCTTGCATCATATTATTGTTCCAAAGGATTAAAAATCTACACGTTCCCATAAAGGAAGACTTTGATCTAGGCAATATAAAACCCAGGATCTGCCGCTATAAACAGGTTTGCTTTTTTGTACGCTTACAACTCAAGCACTCCGGTAATTAGGGGTCAGTGCCATTCATCAGATGAATAGTAACAGCATTTACAGCACAGCAAATTTTTCATCCTGCAGAACTGTATCAAATTGGTCAGAAGCAGTTATCACCACTAGCTGGTCCCATAATAGAAGAGGAAGTCAGGCTAAATAGCGCTATTTTATACTGTACACGTGATCCTCAGGAGTTGTTCAGAATATCTGTCCATGCCATTAAAACTGCAAGGAAAGACTGTTTTATGTATTACAAAAGTGACTTGAAGACTTTTTTCTTAATAGGACAGCTTCTTGAGGGCTTTCCCTTGAAGTTACTTTATGTAACAACAATACTGTCTAAGCAGACTATTATATTCTGCCCTAACTTTGAAAGGACAAATAGGAGGAGGGGAAAAAAATCGCAGAAAAGACCAACACACAAGACTATGAAACAATAGGCCCCAAGTAACCTACCTTCATTAGCCTCTGGTCTAGAATTTTTGATAAATGCAGAAAATTTGGCAAATATATCCATTCCAGCAGTGTTAGATTCTGGATGCTTTGGTGAAAGCTTTAGGTACCTAAAAAGTAGAAAGGATTAGATCTATAGTACATTCAACAGAATAATGATCATCACATATTCATTAGCATGAAATACCTATAGAAAAAAAAAAAAAAGCTCATTTACCAATTTATTCATTTTCAGATTAATTTGGAAGATTTACTCCTTACATGTAGTATCAGACATTCTCACTGAGTTAAAGATTCAAGTGCAACACTTTGAAAATCACTTTTCAGAGGAATAAAAAAGCACATTTCTTCTTTCTAAATCAGGCATATACTCCAAGCACAGTCTTTGAAACAGTCCATGGCTGGAGCAGCAAGCTACCTCACTGTAGCGCAGAGTGCTGCCAAAGGACCGAACACAGTCCCATATACAATAATACAGTTCGGGATCGAACAGACAGCTGTCTAATACTCTTGTCCATTTACTTCTCTGTTCACAGGAGAGTTTTTTTTGTTTAAATTAAAATCCAGCGACCCTAGAAGACCACGGACCCCAAATTCTGTAATGAAAAAGACAAAAGTCTTGTCATGCCAAAAAGATTAAAAACAGTTCAGTTTCCTGGAGGCAGTGCTTGCATTTTACCCTTGCCTGCCAGTTGAGGGAGAAGGAAGCCAAGAGTTCGGAAAACACTTGAACACATCCCACACTTGCGCTGCATGGTCTAATTATAATCAAACACTGTTCAGGATTTCCCATCACAATTTCCAAAACACTAAAGATGCAATCTCCAGGGCACATCTTTACGTCTCGTATAAAAGAGCCGTATTTTCAAAAAATTACTTCCAATTTGCGTTGAGTAATCATCAGTTTTGTACAATTAGCAATGCTCCATCTGCTTATAGAGAGCTACACAGGAATACTGGGAAAAATTTAACATGAAACATGAAGTGCAGGGATATTTCTGAGAGAACAAGAAAACAGCCAGTTCTTGAACACTGAAATATCACCTTACTTCTAGGAAAATGGCTACCAATACAACTCTCATAAGGACACGGCAAATCTCCTTAAAATAGATTTCCACAGTGGTTTATTACTGAGTCAGGACTAAGTTTTGCATAGCAGATGCATCTTCAGTTACATTATTTGGACACATCATCTAAGGTGGCCTACCCCAGTTATCAGAAGTGAAGGTAATGTAGTCTGAAAAATGCAGGTATAGGAAGGGTGACAGAAGTCTAAGAAGGGTGACAAGAGTCTAGGAAGGACAATTTTTAAAATAATTTTTAAAGAAAATATTTTTTAATATACAAATAGGGGAGCTGGAGGAACGAAAGGAATGACAAACCAGAGTTCCAAGCTATTAAAGTCCAAACTTCAGTTTACTAACACTGAAGAACTTTAATTAATACAGAAAACCTCCCTCAGAACAATCCATCTAATCTAAGGTAATCAAATGATACTGTTAACAAATAACCAAATTATCATTTTAACACTTACTTGGGTGGACACAAAACTTCTTCCAGGAACTCTTCAATCTTATTCACATCTGTTCTCACTTCACCATTGTAAGTTATAAAGGGTGGATGAGTGCCTGGAGCCAAATTTTGAAGGTCTGCTGGTTTTCTACAGTGAAATACAAATCAATACAAAAGTAAGCATAGGACATCCATGACCCTAGCTTTTAATGCGATGATCACATAAGCACTGCCTGAGGTTTGTCTCTTCATGGTATTTCATATAAACAGAAATTCAACACCTTAAGGTTTAAAAAGGTATCACCAGTCTTCTGAAAAAGAGTTTAAGACTTGATTAGCATTTTGAATATTTCTTTGATAACAGTTAAAAGTCTTTAAAAACAACTGCTTCCTCCTCCCTTCTGGTTTTATCTCAACTTAACAATAGGATGTTGACAGTGTGTTAGTGTGTGTGTGTGGGGGGGGAAGTGAGTTTATCAATAGCACAATCTGAGATCAATGATAATCCTACCCCCTCACACAGAGTTTCTCTTGAAATAAGAGAGTCAGAGTACATTTATATAAACTATTTATTATGTGCACACACGCTCTGGTTCTAGGCAAGGTGACAGATATTTAAACATCACACTGAAAAATCAAGATGGAAGTAAATAAACTTTTCACAGATTTGGGCAAGGGGAGGAAAATCTTGACATTACCATGACTAGACACAAGAGAAACATGGAATCAAGCTTAAAATACTCAAACATTTCTAAATCATAAGTCAGTTTTGATGACACCTCTCGCTTTTGTGAGATTCACTCCAGCTCCTTTTATACTAATCCTTATCAACCTAAGCCAGTCTATTTTATAAACAATTGGCTTCTCTTTCCTCTAGCTAGGCCTTGATGCTACAGTGACAATGAAAGACACTGCAGGCATTTGTCTAAAACCTGGCACATCAGCTGCACATACACATGTACCTACTCATTCCCCCCAAGATGTCAGCTTACTCCCTTCAGTGTAAAGCTCTCATATCTGTTTCCATCAGTAGGATCAGACAAAAAGTTGAAGTTAATCCAATAATGGGAAGTAGTTTTATTACAAGCTATAAAATCCAAAGCATCACCTAAAAAGCGGTAGCCAATTTTTCCCTGGTAAACCATCATGATACTAGTTACTCTCATGCTAGTACAACTGTCTCAATTCAAGCAGAAATAAAATTACAGTACCGCTTGGCACTTTCAGGAGCAGCACTTAAAAGTCTCCCTGTGATGAAGCTACTGACTACAGCACAGAACGACTGCTCAGAAGCACGAACACTGATTTTTCAAAGACCTTTTCCACGTTCTAGAGAACAGCGTGCAATTGCTCATTCCTCAGACAGCCTCGCAGTCATCTGGCAGCACGTGCGATCCAGATTAGGCACAAGCATACAATTACATTTCTATCAAGTTATCCAGAACATACGCTACAGGATGAATACCACCTTTTGCTAGAGCTACGATGAACGAGGAACAACAGATGCTATCTGATTTCATAGGAAGTTTGCCAAGATAAAGTTGCCCCTTTGTTACTGTTTGAACAAATCCAAACGAGAGAGTAACCCTTGAACTGGTTCTGTGCTTTGCACCATGTAGCCACATTTCTGAGTCAGCACCAGGCATCCTATCACTGGACTTACTTTATAATGGAATTACAGTTCAAGAAACCCCCCTGACCATACTGGACAGAGAAACTGGACTAGCTGCACGGTCCTCAGGCTAGCATGAAAAAGCAATGTTTTTGGAGAACGCATTCAAACTCTGTTAACCAAGCACAGTTCTAAGTTTCGTCCAGTGGAAACGTACACTTTCAAGTGCTTACAGAATTACAAACCCCTGGTAGAATTTCATTCCCTGCTCACAGATGAACCTTTTAAGCTGGGGGGGGGGAGGGGAAGAAGACAACAGCAGCATATCAGTATGTAGCTCCAAAGAGCACCTATGACATATGAAATATGTGATGAGTACGTAAAACTAAATGAGAAAGACTTATTTTTGCACTCAGGTACATTAAACACCCTACTTTTAGGCAGGTGACAGAAGGTAGATATTAATACTTTTCATAATTTTAACAATTTTCAATCAATTGTTAAGTTTCCCAAAAAGTCATTTCTTAATAAATTGCCATCACCCTCTTACTTTTAGGATTTAAAGTCTGTCATCAGTCAATGCTTTAAGTAGCTTAACACTTCATTTAAATACAGCTTTGTAACCCACAACAATTATGGGAAGTCATTGTGGCTCTCTTCCAATTTTGCATGTTGGATAGATAAAATTCTTCAAAAGGAATGTTATTTTAAAAACAAACACAGGCAAGACATCCGGATTTGCAGTAATGCAGTCAAAGGAAAGACTTGATTTCAGAAACAGACAAGTTTAATGACCTATCGAAAAAGAGTTTTCCAAAGGATCAGAGCTCTTTTATTAACCCCTTTGGTCACTCCAGTTAGGTCACCCGTATCTTTCAGAAAAAAAGAAGACACCAAAAAAAAAAAAAAAGTAGAGATTAACATCCCATAGCCAAAGCCCAGACATAATACAGGGTTTGACTTCCAGTTTGCCTCTCTTGCCAGTAGATCATAAACAAATCCTGGCTTACCACATACAAACCACAGTCTTTAGAGCACCCTGAGAGCACTGGAATATCCTTAAAAGGCTAACAGTATCACCTCCCTTAAAGTTCAAGCAAGAAGGCAATTAAAAAAAAAAAAATATATATATATATATATAGCCAAGTTTACTTCAGGGATAAAACTGGGCAATTAAAAACAAACAAAAACCCACCCAAAACAAAACAAAAAATTCTGTAATCAGTCAAAACAATTCCATGAGTTAGTCATGCTTGTATTATACCTGCACCTATGTTTACTGTGGTAATTGGTGGTAGGACCACATATTTAAATATCTGACTATCACTAGTTAATTAAACGGGCAAACTGCTTAACGTCAGAGTTAAGCCATAAACATTTCATGGCTCTGCCACAGACCAGAAGAGCAATTAGTGTTCAAATAATTTCTTGAAGATCAGACAAAAGCCAGCCCCCAGATGCAATATGCTCTACAATGATATATAAATTACATGAATACTGCAACGAGTGTCTGGAGAATAACGCGAAGAAAAAAAGCCAGCAGGAAAAAAAAAAACCGTCTCCAGTCCCCAAGCTGAAGTAACATTCACCTCTGGGCAATCTTTAATATTTACTAATCCCTTTATTTAATCTTTGTCTTTCAACATAACTGTAAAACCACACAATCAAGATGTTTAAAATTGTATTTCAAAACTTAACTGAATGCAAGCTGGCCTTGAATGTTGTTACAAGCCTAACAAATGGTTTATGTACTGCAACCCTGCTCTAGCCACCAGAACAAGTCTAAGCTCTGCACATTGAAATGCTGCTTCTGAGAAGGGAAAGAATAAAGCCTCTGTCTGACTACACAGAAGCAAGAAATGCATTATTTCTTTGAAAGGGCGGTATGCCCCACTTAGTTTTCCTATGTGCATATTTTTGTGTCCAAAGTTATTAAGGGTAGAATTGAGAACTGCTAAATGTTCTTTTGTTAGCACAGTACTATGCTTAATGCAATTATGGAAGGGAAAAATATACAACGTAAAAAGTCAATCAAATCAGATTCAGTTTTTCCTATGTGTCCCAAGTTACTTGCTTGTGAACTTTTGTACCCATCGATGACCTTTTAAGTCTCAAAAACAGTCAGAACTTGCCTTAGTGTTCTACAGAAGTTACACTGTCTACGAGGCAGAAGCGTGTTTTGCAAGTAAACCCATAGTTTTTTGGCTAGTAAAATAAATTCTGATGCATAATAAAACATTAGAACCCAGCCTGTCAACGTATGTGCCTTTCCTCTAACAGGAACAAGAAAAGAGTAATTGGCTTGAATAACGTACTTTAAGACGTCACAAGAAACTCTTACGAGACATTAAGGCAACTTCTAGTACTTATTACCGTCCTGATAATGCTAATGGAAAAAAGAAATGTTTTGTACAAGATTTTTTTGAATCGTTAGCCGATTTTGACATTCTGCAAGTTACGTTATACCACAACCAGGTATAGACAACCCAGAACAGAAAAACTAAAGCTTCAGAAATCTAAGAGGAACTAGGTTTATATCAACATCTATTCAAATCTGAATTAACTTTAGTAGTTGCTCTTTTCCTTTACCAGAGGATTCATTCAGTGGACAGCAAAGAAAATAAAGTTCATTTGATCTTTTCCCATGCAGCTTTTGAATTTTGCACCTATTTTGTATTCTCCCCTCCCCAAGCTAAAAAAGCAGAGAGGAAGCTTTCTGTTACGGCAAAAAAAAAAAAAAAAAAAAAAAAAAAAAAGGACAGTTTTAATCATCTGCAACCAACTTATGCGGTAAATATTAATTTTTGCATCCCATTCCCCCAGCCAATTAACTCAAAGTTGTCAAAGGATCACAAATAAGGCCAATTCAACAGGAACCTTTGGCACTTTTATGATATTTCTCTGGCTGGTTCACCAGTACTAACACATCTAAATATCAAATGGTTCCTTCAACCTTTTCCCCATTCCCCCCCCCCACAGACAACTGTAATAGGTTAAGTGTGCCATCATTAAAAGTAAAAAGTCGACAACTGCAAACACTACCTAAACACAGGCTCTAAACCATAGGTGGTGCTAAATGGAAGATATATTTGGTTTGTGTATGCTAGCAGCAATAATTGTATTTGCAGTAAAATCCCATATAGGCTAGAGAAAATCCCTTAAACGCATGCATACTTCACAAAGGCTGCTTTCTTCCCCTGTGCTTTTGAGTGGTCTGCCACAGCCATATCATACATGTAAATATATACATTGGTGGCCAGCATTGAAGCAAGCAGCACAGAATTAGGTAACAGCAGTCAACTGAAAAAAAAAATACTTTTAAGAGTCAAAAGGGATGAGGAGATGAGTTATTTCTTAAAGAGAACAATGAAAAAACAACACACAAGTCCTCTTCAAAAAAAAAGTTACAAGAGGAGGTTAAGTCTAGCAGAGTATAATTTCTTTCTTACACATTTTACTAGCTACCTTCTTTGGAGGACACTGTACATTTCCATTGGCTTTATTTCTGAAAATAAGGTTTGTAAGCACTAGCAGCCTCTCCTCTCTCCAGAGAGTTAAGTGACTAACATTACACCAATGCTGTGAAAACATTACTTCACACTGAAAACAAATACAAGGGCTCTGCTGAATTTAACATTTCCACTTCTAATAGAGTACACTCAGACTAAGGAAATCAAGTTTCCTGGATTCATATCTAGCCCTCCTTGCCCTCTGTGGTAGTCACTTCACAGATGGAGAAGTTACAATTCAGGTAACATTTAGCATGATGACATATTTGACAAGTGCTATACAAAGGCAGAGTATTTTACATTGTATTTCTGTCCACTTCTACTTCACTCAAATTTATCTCATGGACAGATATTTTCATATTGGTTTTACTTATTGCAAAGTAGCATTATCTTAATATCTTTAAGGGTAGACTATACATGATTTGTGATAGTTATCCAATATTCATTGGAGATTTATTCAAAGATTGGTTGATCCAATATACTCACCCAGCAGTCTTCACTTGTAGGGTCTCAATGTGAAGTTAGTAAGACTTAACATTCAGACATAAGAGACTACATGCCAGTTATCAGATATACAGCAGAAGAGCATCATTTAACAAATTCGAGAGAAATCTGTCAGACAAAGACTCTTCAGTTGCAGACATTTGCAAATAGCCATCAACGAATGCAGCATTTATGTAAAGGTTGCCTCCAAGTTTTTTGAAATTTCACAAAAAAAAACATGCAAGACCTAGAAACCCCAGAGAAACATTTGTCACACCAAATATTGTGCTCTTGCTTCCCAGACAAAGCAAGTATTCCTTACCTCTTCAGGTCAACTGTTGTGACACTAAATACCACTCCCTTCAGCCAAAGAATCATGAACAGCCTCTGAGAAAAGGGACAGTTGCCTATGCTTTCACCATCACTACCAGCCTGCAAAAGAGAACAGATCGTTACTATTAGAAGGTAGCAGTGTGCCATCTGTGCACGCTCACAATTACTAGAAGACCTATATTTAAAAACAGATTGAGTAACAAATTATGAGTTTTATTGCCTGTATTCTCCTCACATCACAAACTTTTCCAAAGACCTAACAAGTCCACCATCAAGCCTGGTACCATCTTGCAGGAACATTCCTTTACTGTCAAAATCCACCTGAAGCACTTGGGAGTGGATATCTTGAGGATATCCCCGTATAATGCACAAAGGCAAGCACCCTCAGAATATGCAAGTACTTTTCATATGCTGGGAAGGTATGCTTGGACTTCTGCATCCATTTTATTTGTTTCCATCCTTTTTGTTTCCTTGGACCATCCAACTTTTTTTTTTTTTTTAAACAGCAGACATAAGGCTTTTATTATAGTGAAATTTATACATTTATAAAGTTGAGTAACCTATTTGCTTCTCATTTCCTCTAGCAGCTGTTTACAAATTGTATCAAAACTAGACTTCAGATAAGTGTGAAAGATGAGTTATTTTGTTAAGACAATCCAACTCCTTTTAGCAGTCAGGAAAGGACAGCTAATAAAATTTGTTTGAGCAGTCACACTTTCAGTGGCAATTTTCGGATGCCATTTGATTTATTTGCTTTATTCCTTCTTCCACAAAGCCTAGCCAACTAACTGTAGTCATCTGCCAGTTTATTGCTTATATCTATCACTGTGTAGTTCTGCCATGAGTCAACTGGAACCAGCAACTATAAATCTTTATTGGTGTTGCAAGGAAAGACATAACCATAAGTACATAGAGACTTAACTGACAATACAGTAATATTCCAAAGCTACTTTTTATAGGCAACTTATCAATCAGTGTCTTTGTCCTATCACAACAAAGGTCCATTGCACAACAGTAAGGCACTCCAGGGCACCCAGTGATGGCACGAATCTCATGATTGCTCTCTGACAATGAAGTATGTAATGCTTAGTTGGAAAAATTTAGCTTTTAGTGGACAAGTTTTAGACACTCAAAACCTTGAACCTTGTTGCAAAATCCCAATTTCTGAATAGAAAACTGATTCAGTAGTTAAAAAACAATTGTAAATGTAAAACTATCTAGACATACACTAAGTTTCACAAACTTTGATAGATTTTGCTTACTACAGTACTTCCAAGAATAATCTTAATTAATTAGTAAGAGTATCAAAACCAGGCTAATTCCTTCATCATTACTATCTCTTGTTCCGTAGGCTGTTTTAAATTATAGCATAGGATATACTCACCGTACTCCTTGGAGAAAGGACAAAAACACTTGCACTCTTTTAAAGAGGCCTACTCTAAAAGGCTATTTAGAAGCAGAGCTACACAATTGGAAGGGTTAAGCACAAGGCATGGGTGTTGACTGGTGGCAACCCATCTTTAAAAAAAGAAAAAAGGGGTGGGGAACAGGAGGGGGAAAAAAAAAGCAGCTGGCAAACAGTGTTATCACAAGAAAACTAAGCTTTAGGATCAGCACCAACCAGAGAGAGGCTTAGGAACTTGAGCAAAGGAACTCTTTCCTTCAGTTCTCTGCCAGGTCCCAGCCATGCACTTGTGGGGCAAGGAAGAAGCTTTCTTTACTTTCTACATCAGGAAAACTAAGAAATATCTAACAGCTCTTTCTTCAGAGGTCTGGAAATTTAAAAAAAGTTTTTCAAGTGCAGTTGTGGTCTTCAATTCAAAAAATATTTTATTTGAAAAGAACGGTCACAACACCTTTGCAGATAAGGCTGAGACTCCTTTGCTTGTTCTCTACAAATACAGGACATAAGGACTCAAACCAACTTATCTTGTCTCAGGCTTCTTTTGGTCTCATTGCGACAAGTACCTGTCCACTGACACAGAAGATTATCCTTTTGAATTCTTTGATGCATGGAGCACATAGTTATTTTTCTTCAAACCTTCATCAGTTTCATTAATGAAGATTTGAAAGAAGAAAAGAAGCTGCATTTTTGCCCAAGTTACAAATTGCCTTCTTTATGTTGGGAAAGTTTTCAGCAGATTAACAATACCAGATTGTCTTAGAAGCTGGCATGTGACTTTTTGGTGTCTGGGAAAAATGACATGCACATGGAATCATCACTACTGAGCTACTTCTCAGGGAACACACTGTCAAAAAATAGCCCAAGCTTCTCACCAGTGCATTCGTGAAACACACTGCAAAGGCACCTATCAAAAGCAGAAATCTGGGTCAAAGTTTGGTTACTCGGGGCATTCTGCTTTATACTACCTAAAACTAGAGTTTTCTATTGTGCATATAACAATTTTAAGAATTCTGACAACTACATGGAATTGTTCCTACCTTGGAATATTGAAAAACTGCAACTGAAAATAAACCAATCTCAAATTCAGGAAGTAATTTTGCTCAACTGTATTACAAATGAAATCTTAGTCCAAAGCAGAGCTGCTCTTAAGTCATAGAACTGAAGAAGAAATATTTTAAAATTTAAGGCACAAAACACAACAGTTGTTTCCATGAAGGTCAATTTTCCTAGGCCAAAACCAATACTAAACCCAAAGTGATGCCAATGAAGGCCAAAAAAGGTCAAATGCATTTACGTTGTAATACCACCTTTGACAGTAACTTTTCTTCTTTCCCCAAGCAAGCACAACACTCAAAATAAACAAACAATGAAGGGCATTTGCTTTTACTTAAGCAAGATGAGCTTTTTGGATAATATGAATCAAAAATAAAATAAAACATTACAGCCCATTAACATGCAGTGATTTGAAGAAAGCCTAATGCACTTCTACAGCTGCAGCTGAATACCTATACTGAGTACAGATTTTTATGTCTGCACTCAAAAGTTTGTCCCATTTATGCTCCAAAAAGTCCCAAGTTATTCCGAGCACAAACTGAAAGAGGAATGTAGTTAGAACGCCAAGAAACTTTTGGCTTCGGCACTCTTGAGCTGAAGAATTCTGCTATGTAATTGTTTGCCCGAGAGGTCCGTTTTATATCTTCTTCTATTTGATGCACTGGGAGCTACAGCGCACAGATCCCTTACGAGCGGTCATTAAGAGAAACACTACACTGGAGATGCAACACATTCTTCTCCTTCAATTACAAACGTGTTTTTTTCAGAGGGAGATGAATTTGGTGGATACTTGAGAGAGCTGATTATCAGTGGAGAGACTAATTTTCTCCATTGGAATAGGGCTGTGCTGACAGTAAACTATAAGCCTTTACATATTGTAATATTCTGAAATTCTGTGTGACTAGTCACACAAGCGGCTAATCAAATAACAACTGTTTCTTAAATTCACTGTTAGAAGCCAGAAACTTGGCGTCACCTGATCTTTGAATTCAGGCCACAACATTCTAGGCTATCTTCAGTGTTTCACTCCCATCGCCACCGGTTTCATTTCACAGGAGTAAAGAAAATATTAAATGTTGACTTCTTTATACAAATTCAGTCTAGGTTACTTGTTAATTCAGCAAGATTATTCTCATTCTCTACAGAGGAGCTCTGAACTTTTATTCAAATTAATTTCCAAAAAAACATACTCCAGAGATCTTTAGTACTAAATAATGCGAACCTTCCTACATTTAAGACTATTTTCAGTTATCATCAAATCAAGCTGCTATCATCCATTGAAGGACTTATAGTTAAGAAGAACTTCACACTACTCTTATGTTCAACTGAATACCAGGTATTACACTTGCATAGTTTTAGGACCAGATAGAAAAAAAAGCACACCACCACCCATAGCAAGGTAACATGATATTTTTCACTAGTGAGTGAGTATTTTGCTTAAAGATTAAACAGAGCGTTAGCCTTGAAAAGCCTGGCTTCAGTTTACCAGAAGGGAAAGTACACTGCCAAACAGTGTTTAACTTGACCTAAGACCCATGACCAAGTCATGCCATGCTAGAGATGCTGTCCAGCAGTCCGAAAGGCTAACATCTGCTATAGAGAATGTGACAGTGAGAAAAGGTTAAAGACATTCACTTGCCTTAAACAAAACTGTGTTACACTCCAAGTTGGCTACCTTTAAAAAAGGGGGTGGGCGCAAAAAGGTGACAAAAATGGACCTTACATTAATTGTCAGGTGCGACTTCACGAGAAAGAGCTGGGCATTCAGACACTGCAGCACATACATTACAGTATAACATAAAAAACAAACAGGGCTGCTTTTCAAAAAAATCTAAATAAGAAAATAAGTTCAAATAAGAATGAAAGAGTTACAAAACACTAAAGCAAATAATCAGTATGCTCGCTGAGAAGACAACCCGGTTTATCGTAGCCCACAGACTTAAAACTACTGACAACTCCCAGTGCCAAGTAGTTCAGTCCATGCAGGAGTGCCAGCTACTTGGAAAAGAAATCTGCTTCTCCCACTGTCTGGGAGGCTGAATTTAGCTGATCCTGCCAATGCGGTAGCGACCTCCTCCCCTTCTCTTCCCCCAAAGCAGTTACTCCATTTAAAATAAGATTATATCCTCCCCCTCATCCACTTTAGAGAAGCATGTCACAAAAATACCTTTTTGCCAAAGATGACTAATGAAGCTATTTGATTATACCACCAAGAAAGTCCCCACCCACCTAAATCCAGAGTCTGGAAAATTAAAGTCCAACTAATAAACAGATTAGGAAAAAACAAAGGGTATTTTAAAGCCCTGAATTCAGCAATCCTGAAACATACAGTAGTTCTCACTTAAAAAAAAAAATCTACTGGGGAAAAATACACGAGAAAAACAGCATGATGCAAGTTCATTACCTCAAAACAGGCAATAATAATCAATCTTGTGTGTTTCATGAACAGCGATCTCATTCAAAAACTGAGTAAACCAACAATAATCCTATATGGATTCACATTTTTAGAGGAAATTGTTTAAGGTAAACTAATGAAGTGATTCAATGGAAAAACATACAGCAACTCAAAATCCCAGAGATGAAAGTATACAGAAAGGAGTGGCTCAATGTTCCACACATGACTACTGAAAACAGTCTGGTA